TCCAGCAAAAGCTGACTGAAACCACTGTCACGGTCTTATTTTCTTAACACCAATTTTCAGGATCATTCCATTTGGTAGGCTTTCTTAATGGCCTTCTTTGTCATTTTATGAGACAATACAATCATCTCATTTTTCTCCTCCTATCCTAAATGTTCATACTTGCCTGGCTTCACCCTCTACCTTATCCCTAAACACTGGAGTTTCTCCCTTGGTGGCTCATTGACTCCCAGAGCTTTAAGTGCCATCTACTCTCAGAGAGTGCAGCATGTACACAGCTAGCCCTAACCCGTCCTCAACGCCAGGCTTGTGTCAATCACTTCCTTTACTTTCCAAGAGGTTGTTTTGAGGATATCGCATGTAAAATAGTAAAGGGAAAACAAAACGTGAATAAATGACAACATAAACCTGCAGACAGTGCCTCTGATGAAGGTGGAGAGCGACTGGACTTCCACACTTTCATAGCAGGTGCGCTTGTCATAACCACTTTCAGAAACTCGTTGGTAGTATCTCGTCAAGATGGACTTACACGTACTCTAAGACCCCAGATTTCCACTCTTAGGTAAATTGCTCAATAAAAAAATTCCTACAGAGAAAAACAACTTTAAGTCAATAGATGAGGCTCAAAACAGAGCCGATTTGCTACTCTCAATCTCTCCCTCCTACAGCTTCCATAGCTAATCAATAGCATCACTATTCAACATATTTTCTAGTCAGAAAATGAATTCTCTCTTTCTTTCACCTGCCACAACCAGCTCAACAACAAGTGTTATTGGCATCACCACCATAGTAGATCTCCATCCACTTCTCTCCACTTGTCCTGCCCCATCCTACTTTAAGCCTCTATCACTTTTTACTTGGACTATTACAATAGTCTCTCATTTTCCCATACTCACTTCTTCCCAACATACCTTAATTTCTCACACTTAGCTGTCAAAATAAATGTACAAATTGTAAATTCTATCACATCACTCTTGCTTAATGCTCTTCTATGATTTTCTGTTTCTATTAGAATAAAATTTAGATTCCTTACCAAGAATAAACAGTTTGTTATATTCTGCAACTTATTAGTTATTCAATTTTTCTTACTCATTTTTTTCTACAAACACACTGGCCTTCCATCTCTGCCTGCAACATGCCAAGTTCTTTCTTATTCCAAGAACTTTCATTAGCTTTCTTGGAATATTGCTTCTATGGCCGCTTCTCATCCTTTGGGTATCACAAGCCATTCCCTGACAATTCCAGTAAACAGTGTTCTCACTGTTGAATATCCTGGCACCATTTTTAATTATTTTATAGCTCAAGTGCATTTGTTCACTTGTTGCTACTTGTTTTCTCCCCTAGTGAACTGAACGCACCATAAGGATGGGTCTAGTATGAGGCCTGGTGCACAATAAACAGCTCTTGAATGTATGACTAAAATTATTAGAGTTTATACAGAAGTGTTATTTAAAACATTTAAAAATGTTTCTAACTAAAGGGAAACTATGTAAATGTCAAATCAAAACATGTAACTACCAATGCATTTTTACTATTGTCTGGGCTAGATGCCAACCTAATGTAGAAAGATGTGATAAATGAACTAACAATTGCCTATCCTTGCATTGAGATTATCAATGATATTCTGAGTCAGAGGTAGAATGCTGTTCTCTGCAATAAAGATTTAGTAAGTCTAATTATGTAAATTGATTATAATTCTTACTAACCCGAGTCAGTAAAAAACATGGACATTTGGAAAGGATATGGTACTAGAAGCTCTCTATTGCTTTCTTACTTATTTTGTACCTCAGATTATCTGCCCCCAAAGATGGACAACTTTTTTTAACTTCTTAAGTAGACCTCACTTTAAGTGGACTTTTGTTTTATTGGAGAAGTCAAGATATAGTCAATTTAATAACTATTGACTGAATGTGTAGCTGTTAGGGGACACTAATTCTCTAAGTTCACTTTGCAGAATGTAGAAATAAAATAGTCATCTAAGAATGGTCCACTGGTCTTGAAGGACAATTCTTTAACCAGATGATCTGTAAACATGTCCTGGATTCATTTTACATTTCTTGATTGTGATTTATTTTTTAAAATTAGGAGATGTTGTTTAAAACATAACTTCAATCTAAAAATGTATTTTGAGGATCCGCTATGACAAAAGCAATGTGTTTGGCACTCTGAAGGTTACAGCGACGGGTCAGAAGGGACTCCCGGTCTCAAGGCATTCACAGTCAAGGAATGGGTTTATTTTATTGATAACTACATACCACAAGGTGGAAGTCAAAAAGTTCCACAATAGAGTTGAAGAATAAGGTAGTATAGGAATTCAGAGGAGAAAATGAATTTCACTTGGGGATATTAGAAAAGTCTTCACAGAGGTTTGAAAACTAAGCAGGACCTGATGTGTTTAGTAGGGGGACAGTATTTTTATCGAAACAATGGCACAAAGTCAGAAAAGCTCAAGGAATGTTATAGAGAAGAACTAGGTCCATTTGGTAAAATCAAGAGTTCTATGCAAGTGGAGAGGAGGAGAGATTGTAAGGCTGGACATGTAGCTTGGGACTCTATTTCAGGAATCTAAAACATAAGGAAGGCTAAAGTGGGTGAACTTCATCTCCTAAACATTAGAGTCATACAGCATGAGATCTCAAGGCTGTGATGTGAGCAGAGTGATGTAATATGAGGTGTGAGCAAGAATATTGGAGAAAGACATGATAGGAAGGTTTCTCAAAGGGTTATGATGAGATATGAGTGGGTATTTTGAGTAGTTGCACCAGGACTTGGCAACAGTTTACATGCGGGGATTAGCAGGGATTCAAATGTGATTGAAAACATTTTGAACTGGTCGGAAGGAAAACTGTATCCTTAAAATAAATGGACAACACAGAACAGTTTTTAGAAGGAAAATTATATGTGCAGATTGAGAAGTATACTTCTTTTTTTTTTTTTAATCCTCAGCTGAGGTTATTTTTCCATTGATTTTTAGAGAGTGGAAAGGAGGGAGAGGTGGGGACAGAGAAGGAGACAGAGAAAGAAACATCGATGTGAAAGAGACACATTGATTGGTTGCCTCCCACATACACTTGGACCAGAGCTGGGGGTCAAAACTCCAACCCAGGTGAATGCCCTTGACCGGGAATGAAACTTTTGACCCTTCGGTGCACTGGCTGACACTCTAATCACTGAGCAAAACCCATCAAGGTGAAAAGTATCAATTTTGAATCTAGTCTAGTAGAACACAAAATATGGAATCGCAGGTGTGGTACAGTCCTGTGATCATTGAATTAGCAGAAATCCTGTAATGTGATGAATTTTTCAAACATGAAAGTATAGAAATAAAGGGTGATTGAAGAAGTAGACAATGGAGGAGAGTTGGAAGGGTAAGGAGAGTCCAACGTCATGAAAACCAATACACGAGACATTTTTTAAGAAGAAAATGCTCCTGAATGTCAAATATATACCTTCAAACTATGTAGCAGCTAAAGAAGATAGGAATTAAGAAAACGTTTTCTAGTTGTCTCAAATTGGTAATCGTCATTCATTTCCCAAAATGAACTATAGTGGCAAGGTGACAGTAGAGAAAGTGTGGACATTGCAATCGGAGAAATTGAAGTTGAGGTCTGATTCTGTGTGGCTGAGCCATGTGCTTTGGGGTAAAGTTGTTTGTTTCTCTGGACCTCAATTTCTTGACTGTACAATGGGGATAATACCTTAATCAAAGGGCTGTGAGGGTAAATTTAGTAAATCAATGTATGGATAAGAGGAGGCCGTTGGAAATAGGTCTGTTATTCCAGGTATCTTTTGAGTTTGCCTCCCATTTGCTTTCCATAAACTTCCAGATGATCATGTGTTATGGAAAAATCTTACCTGGGTTTGTGGGAGGTTAGGTAAAATTAATCATTACAATGAATTGTAAACAATTAAGCATTGACCCCCCAATCCCTCCTTGTGCAAAGCTGAGTGCAGCGGATGGGATAGGTTTACTCTTGAAGGTCCTGCCACGACAAATGGTCAAGGCCGAATGGTGTCAACAGGCCCAGAGGGGCTGATCAGTGTGAGGGATGATTTTATGTGTCCCTGGAGGGACAACTGTGTCCTTGATACTTGATTTTGCATACCCTGGTGCTTACCAACATGCACTGTTCATAATAGAGGCTCAGTAAAATTTTGCCAAACAAATAGCTGTTTGTCTGTCTGTCTGGAGTGATCTGGCTATAAGATAATACACATATAAGAAAAAGGATACAGCATTGATTGGAAACAAAAAACTAAAATGGAAAATAATACAATCTCATAGGGTGTTGGTGGCAAGCAACTAGGCAGATGTACATGCCAATGTATAACTGTCACAAATACAATGTTGTTTATATTACCAAAAGATAAACATTTCCCAAACCAGGAGCCAATGACAGAAACAAAAGGAAAAGGAAGTTTGAGATATGAATTAAAACCTCATGCTGTTTTTAACTTCTAGACAATAATAGAGAGACATGATAACTTACTCTTATATCAGTTCTTATTAATAAGCAGAAAGGTATACAAAGAAATATAATACCAAATGCCATTCTTTTGGAAGTTAACCTCTTGTTTTTATATATAAACAGTAGGATTACAATCAATAAATGTTGCATCAATGGTCCGGTGACTAGCCTTGCCCATTAGTCTGGGTGTCATGATGTGCACAGTGAAGTATCTAGACTCCATACTGATAAAAACTCAAATGACATATTTTGTATCAAGAAAGGGTGGTAAAATTCCATTTTAAATTGCTTCAAGATTTCTTTCTCTCTTGAGTACATCTCCTTTGCTACATTCAAATACATTACGTGACGCTAGAACTTTGTTGTGAAGTTCTTTTAAGCTGTTAAACGCTCAGCTGACTAAGCATAAAGGGAAAATGTGTTTGCTGGATAGAAAACCAGATCCTATGGTTTACATGTTTCCTCCTTAAAAACTGCGATGCAGCCAGATATTTACCCCTCTCCTTCTCTCACCCCCCCGTGATTGCTTCGCAGGCCACGGCACGTGCTCCTGTGGTCGCTGCGTTTGTGAGAGAGGCTGGTTTGGAAAGCTCTGCCAGCATCCCAGGAAGTGCAACGTGACGGAGGAACTGAGCAAGAGTTTGTGTGAATCAGCAGATGGCATCTTGTGCTCGGGAAAGGGTGAGTATCTGCCGGAGCTTGGACTGAATCCCTGTGGTGACACACGGTTTGCACAGCAGCACACAGCAAACATCTTTTTCAGACTGCACTTTGCGTGAATGAGAATCACTCTGTCCTCTGCTGGTACCAGACATGAAGCTTGAATGTTAACTACGTGAAGTTCAGCATCCAAGCAAATGAAGTTGGGTGAGGTGGGCTGCATGTGAAAAGATCTTAAGCCACTTGTATACAACGTCATTGTGAATGAGATACAGTTACTAATTGTCTAAAGAAGAAAGTACAATAGGATATGCTGGGTACTGAATAGGCCCCCCCTCAAACGGCAAAAGTATAATCACTGAGTTCACCTGTGACATAGCAGAGTCCAGAACTGCACACAACGCTCTGGCAGCTCGTGGCATTCTCACTAAACATTAGAGAGCTGCCCTGCCTGGAGCTGGATGTCATTTCCCAGCCCCCCCTCTTTGGCTCAGTTGCCTCCTTGCAGAACAAACCACTGCCTTTTCAGACTTTCATAGCTGATGCTGCATTTACCCTCCAACACCTACCCTGGGTCAGGAGGAGCAGGTAAACATCTTTCTGAAGAAGACACAGTGAAGCAAAGCCAGTCGGCTGAGGAGGTCTCAGAAGCAGAATTGACCTCAGGGATGTGCCCCTAGCTGCAGCTGTTGCTTTACCTGTCACTCAAAGCCAATGCTATCCGGATGAAAGAGACATCTTGACGTAATTAGAAAGATAAAATCAGTTGGATGTTGTGACCACATATGGTGCCAGGAGGAAGGTTGAAAATGGATATAAACATGCTCATTTCAATAGACAGCCATGTCCTTGGTTTCCGGGAACTCTGCGTTTGAGGCTGGTGTTTACAGTGTGCTGGCAAGGAGGCCGAGCCTTCCACCTGATGCCATTGCAGCAGCCAGCAGCACTCACACAGGTTTAAAGCAATCACTTTGTTCCCATTTGTTCTATACGGTTCATTCTAATTCCATGTCCCAACAAATGTCCCACCATTGCAGTTCTCAGGGGACCTCAGGTGCTGGAAACACTTGCTTTAGGTTCAAGAAGTTTTGCTGGGCCCTGGCCCTGGTCATTGTGGCTCTTGATTGGGTGTCGTCCTTTGCACTGAAAGTCCCTGTTTCGATTCCTAGCCAGGGCACTTGCCCAAGTTACAGGTTTGGTCTGGGATAGGGGGCATGCTGGAGGCAGCTGACTGATGTTTCTTTCTCTCCTTCTTCCTTCCTCTCTCTCTAAAAATCAATTTAAAAAATCTTTAAAAAAAAAAAGCAAGAAAGAAATTCTGTTGGGAGGAGGAAAGAGAGGTTGAAAGGAAAAGACAGCCTTGGCTGCTTGGCTCAGTGGTTAGAGTGTCAGCCTGCAGACCAAAGTGTGTCTTGGGTTCAATTCTAGTCAAGGGCACATGCCTGGGTTGTGGGTTCTATTCCCTACCTCAGGTGGAGTTGTGCAGGAGCAACCTATTAATGTATCTCTATCACATTGATGTTTCTCTCTCTTCCTCCCTCCCTCCCTTCCACTCCCTAAAAATCAATGGAAAATGTTCTCAGATGAGGATTAACAATAAATAAAATAAATAAATAAATAAATAAATAAATAAATTCATAAATAAAGAAAGAAAGAAGACAGAGGGAAGGAATTGCTGAGGAAGCGATTAAGAGATTAACAAAGAAACAGCAAAGGGGGTAGGGATAGAATTAATCTTCAAAGGGGAAGCAGGAAGGACAAAGGAAATGTTATCAGAGCAGAAAGGAGTGTCCTGTGTACACAAAAGTACTGAGAATGATTAATTTGTCTCAATTAGATCACCTCCACCCCCGACCAAGTATAGCTTCAAACACAGAACCCTAACGTTTAGATCCTTTTTCATGATGGCCTTATCCTTGGGATAAGGATATTAACTTTTCATAGAAACTCCATTGAATGAGGAAACTCTTGTATTGTAACATTGGTGTGCTTGTTTATATTTGCTTATTTAAAAAATCAACTGTTTTATGTGTGTGTGTGCATGTTTACCAGACATGCTATGAAGTAATTGACATTATGCATAAGTGGGTCTCTGCTAGTTATATCCATTCACAGGTGCACAAAGCCATGCTCACCTGTGTGGTGAATACCAGTGTGTCGGTTCCTAAACTGAAGTCCATGCAAAAAGAGGAGTAATTTGTTTTCAAGAAATAAACATTTTTTTATTAAAGTCATTACATTCTGAAGAGGAATTCTTATTTTTCAGCACCATAAACGTAGAAAATGCTAAGAAATAAAAATAAAAAGGGGTGGGAGGGGTGAACCCAGCAGCATTTTCTCAAAATAAAACAAGAAAAGGTCTCTGGTTAATGCCTCTTTCAAATTGTTTGCTTTAGGTGATGGAATTATATCTGCAGATCGGTGAAGAGCTGACAGCGTATATTCAAAACTATTTGTTTATCCTTCAGTGGATACAGAGTTTTTAGTCTTTAAACTCAAAAGGGAATGAGTGTAAAAGCTGCCTCAAGGCTGCATGCTTCGAGGCTGGCCTTGGTGGTGGGCATTCTATTGTCTCCAGCTGGCTGTAGGCTCCTTTCTCTCCTCTTATTCTGAAGACATCAGCGCTGGGTTACAGAAGAAAGAGACTAACCGAGACCATGGAACTGTGATCTTCCATGCACAGGGAATGGTGGGGATGCAACAGTTATTTCTGTCCCCATGGAGGGTCCCTCCCCACGACCCCCTAAAGAACCACAGAAAAAGTAGCTCATGAAAGAGGCTACCGGTATTGGACATGGTATCAGAGAAGAGAAACTTATTCCAACTTACATTGCTGGGACCAGGTATTTCTTAATAGAGTTCATGGACTTGCCAGAATTCCATACACTTTTCCTCAAAATTATGAATGAGAACCCAAAGGACATTGGAGTGTTTTTTCTTTCCCCCCTTAGGGGACAGGTAGGCGCAGCGGGCATGAGGCCACCATGGCACACACCACCCAGTAGCTGGTACCCGACTGTTTCCACCAGAAAGGCAGATCTGAAACATGCACTCCCCTGAGCTGCGAATAAAGCCGTCACCTCAGGAGACGATGAAGAAATAGCGTTTTATTTCTTTACAAATTTATAGCCAAGACAATAAATCACTCCATAGAAAAATTTAAAACAAGATACATTGTTGTGACCTTCACAACTGATGGAGTCGTTAGTACAATGGTGAAAACTGCCTGCTGGGGTGTCAGGTTGCAGCATTTTGTCAGGCTTGATGAATGGAAAAGAAAGTCCGCTTTGTTAATGGGGCCGCTAACCAAGGTGCTCGTCCTTACACTCAAACTGCTTTTGTGAATAACCAGAGAGATGAGCTTGGAGCCAGGTCTCCTCTCTGTGGAGCTACCTTTGCTGAATACACAATATAATTATTCATCGGCCGTTTGTTCATCTGTTTGTTTATTTTTGTTTGTCTGGATGTTTATTTGTATCCCAGAGTACATAATAACTTTTTCACCTTGGTAACCACCTAGGTCCAGGTCACCACCTCTAACATTCTTAAAGATGTTTCCCGATGATGGCTGTAATTGCCTGTCAGGAAATGTCTCCCTAGTACACTCACAGTGACACTGTGGAGTACCCCATCACCAGGATAAGTCCATGGTACACCCACCCACCCACCTACTTAGCCCTAACTTCCACCCACCCTGGCTGATTCTCCATCCGTGGAAAGAGACAAGGTAAAAATGAGGCTTCGAAAACCAGACTAAACCAGTGTTTTTTTGTTTGTTTGTTTTTTTATCCTCACCCAAGGACATTTTTTCATTTTTTGTTCAGATAGAGTGGGAGGGAGAGAGAGGAAGAGAGAGAGAGAGAGAAACATCGAAGTGAAAGGGACACATCGAGTGGCTGCCACCCGCACGACCAACCAGGGCCGGGGACAAACTGCAACCGAGGTACGTGCCCTTAGCGGGAACCGAACCTGGGTCTCTCAGGACCGCAGGCTGACGCTCCAACCGCTGAGCCAAACCGGCCAGAGCTAAACCAGTGTTTTAATTGCCTCACTCACTATGTCTGTCAGTGGGAACACACGACTCACTTTTTGAAACTATATGAGGTTTTTCTGGTGGGAGGCATCACAGAGAGGCAGATAGATAGATAAACTAGTAGACTGAACAGGATCGAAATCTTAGGTTAACTGTTGTTTATTGCCCAGGTGGCCCTGGGGAATTCCCTTATTCTCTCTGTACGTCCATTTTCTCCTCTTTGAAGGCAGAAGGATTTCATTTCTTTCCCTTCTTAAATCCTATGGATGCGCTGAAGACAAATGAGAAAATGTGGCTGATTTCCCCATGGATGGTAGCCAGCAAAAAGCACAGAAGGATGATCAGAGCATTCTAAAGGGTCCTTATACTGAGAAAACAAATAAATGATCAGTGGTGTCGTGGTCATGAATTTACCACCCTGGAGTTCCTGCCAAGATGGACCAGCTGCTCCCAATGGCTGGGCTGGGTCTCATGGGTTTAAGTGGGTACCTGTCTAGCTGAGATGAATAATTGGTCCTCTCTTGGAAGTCATGTAGCTTATACTGTCTGACAGAGTCCTCTTCCTAAGATTTTCCCTTTCCAGAGATGGGCAATTTGACCCCTGATTATTGACGAAAGCAGCCGGAGCACTCTATAACAAAGGCGCTATAAGACGTCCTAATAACGATCACACTATGTTATTACATGCTCTGCTACTCCCAGCTTCACAAGCAGGAGGAGAGTTTTCTACCTCTAAGATGCACTGAGAATTGACAGGCAGGAAGGAACAACACAGCTGGGGAAAATGCTGACCGAGAAAAAAGCTAGTTTTTCATAGCACATACAAAATCAATCCCCATTTTTCATTCTAAGTATTTTAGTGAATAGTAGACTTTTGGAAATGGAATTTACTTGTCAAATGGTCTACCAATGTATACCATATTAACTCTAGCTGAGCTTACCAGTTTTAGGAAATTACTGTACTATGGCCTGAAGCTAAGCATTCCAGAAGCAAGAGCCGTGACCGAAATAGTTCTGGAGCTAGGAGACAAGTTGAAAGATAAAATGTGGTACTTTTTCATGAATTTCAGCAAAAAAGAGAGAGAGAGATATCCTAGGTGTAATACATAAATATCACGGACATATAAAGTCATTTACTTCTACTTCTGTTGTAGAAAAAATTTTGGAGATACTATTTTAGAAACAATAAAATTCTTCAAATTCTTCAAATAATCTTCCTCCATGCACAGAAATAAAGCACTAAATCTAATATCTTCTGAGGATATGTTAATGAAGTCATAAAATGCCCCAAGTTTTCTTATATTTCTCTAACCATTTGCAAAGTGAACAGTTGAATGTTGAACATTTCTGTGCTTAGAAATTTGACAGAAAGTCTTTAAAGTTAGAATAAATAAATTTCTAAATAAAGAAACACTGTACCTGGATGAGACTATGAACTCTCACAGACTAGCCTGGGATGCCCGGTTATGGGTCCTAAGGAACCGCTCCAGGGTACTTGGTCACCCATTAGGACGGAAAGTTGTCTAAGTTGCCCAAGAGCATGCAAGTCAACCTAGACCCTCAGTAAAACAAGTAAATGAAACCATGCTGAAGTCAAGTAAGAAGGTAATAAATGTAAACACAGTTCTCAGCACGTAACTAATTCTGACTACTCCCTTACCCTGAGAAGTGTGACAAAGAATATCAGAAGTTTAATTAGGCTGTTGGGGATTCTTACAGCTAAAATTCATATACCGGTTTCCATTAATAGGAACCAGCATGGTATGCTGAATGCCTGGGACACATTTATATGAATCCCTTCATGACAGCAGTAATAAATAAAAATTTTATTCTCTAACCATTTTGATCAACCAGGTGGTTACCTTACTTTTGAGCCACTGTGTTTTATAGAGGCACTAATGATTGATTCCTGTCCCCTCCCAATATATTTTGAATTTACCAAGTCTGGAATTTTGTTCAATACGTCAAAAAACCTTTTTCTACTTTACATTCTCTTAAGATGATAGGCATCTTGAGTAAAAAGAAATTGCATTTAGAAAGAAGAATCAATCCAAGGACAGAAGGAAGAGGAAGACCTTTCTATATGTATTTATTTTTAATTTGAAAGGTTTCATTACTGCTGTTGTAGAAGAAAGTTTGCCACGTGAGGCTTTTTAGCCTGTCATGTTGAAGACATTTAGGCTGAAAGAACTTTCTTCTCTCTTTGACACCATTTAATTCATATATATTTTTTCTAAGTGTGCCATTAATAAAACTGTTTCTCAGCAAACCAAAATACTTTTAATAACCAAAGAGGAAGTTTTTAATTAGGTAGGAAGTGAAAAGAGGGAAATGGGTGAAGTAATGAGAAAGTTGGTTGGATCAAGAGCCTCATAAAAATGAACATTGGGGGTTAGAGCTTTCCTGGATTATGGCAGGAAATCCTGAGGATGAGATTTGATAAGTCAAATATACATGAGTGATTGTGTGTGTGTGTGTGTGTGTGTGTGTGTGTGAACACCTTAATGAGCTACCCAAAATGCAGGTGTGTCCTTACTTCAAGAAAATCGTGTAAACAAAAATCCAAAGTGATAAACACAAATTTAGTAGTTGTTTTCATTATAAAATGCACCCTCACTTAATAGAACTTATTATTCAATTCTTTTAAAGGACAGACACTTTGAAAACATGATTCAATTATTTTTTTAAAAATCACATCTATTTTTGCACACCTTTTTGGAAGGCCATCTATAAAAAATCAGCCACATTCTGCTCTCGTTGACATTTCAACCAGACTGAGCCATGGAACATTTGCTCAAGGCTAATTGCAACCGTCTAGATCCATAATGAAGCCTTTCCTGGATAACCTTTATGAATTACTGTAAGTAAAGTTCCCTTCTGAGCAACTGGCTATTCCATAAACTTTTACTTTTGGAAGATAGGCTATTAGGAGCTGATTGTCAGTACATCGATGGTATTCTATTCTAGACGGAAACCTTCAGCTGTGTGGTGACAATTAATAATATCCTTTGTGATTTCAGGTTCTTGTCACTGTGGAAAGTGCATTTGTTCTGCTGAAGAATGGTATATTTCGGGTGAATTCTGCGACTGTGATGACAGGGACTGCGACAAGCACGATGGTCTCATTTGCACAGGTACATTACTGACCTACTCTAGTTGAGCTATGCCACATTTTGCAGTAAAGGTGAATGACACACATCCCATATTGCTGTAGATCACTGGGTAGGAGACCTTCCACGTACTCAAGGGCCAACTAGCAAGATAAAGTATGCAACGGGAGGTGGGGGGCTTTGGTGAATAAGCACTGTCATTATTCCCAGGCATGAAAAGAGTGCACCCAAATTATATGATTTGGGGGGAGATTCCACAAAGTAACTTCCCCCAACTTACATATATGCAGTTTTATATATTGCAAAAAGAAAATAATTCTCTTGACAACTGTTTCACTTTGAGCATGATGTGGAGAATGGAATATTAGTTTAAACAGGACCCAGGTACCAAGGCTGGTTGATGTGTTGGTTGTTTTTAGGGAATGGAATATGTGTGTGCTGGGGAGATGGGAATATGAAAACAACTTAGTATAATAGATACTGCTATCCTGAGTTACTGTAATTAGTTATAAAATACATGTTCTTAAACAAGTCACAGGGGAAATAGAGATATGTACATTTGTTCTCCTTGTTTCTAATTAAAGGTAAAAGATGAGTATTTGTGTGTCAATAAGTTAGACATTCCCTTCTGTCTATCCCTTCTACACAAGGCTCCAGCTAGAAGCTGGCTATTCAGCCTACCCCATCCTATGTCAAGGAGCTGCACATTCTTTAGCATTTGTTCATAAATTACACATAACCTGCTCTCTACATAAAAACAAAATTACGACATGGAATCCCAGCTGGAGTGAAACTGAAGGTCACCATTAGGTTGATACTAACTTGATAGTAGCACCAAGTAGATGCCATTAATTGTTTGAAAAATCAAATTTCTTATAGCTGCTTAATAAGATAATAAGCTGGTTGCACAATAAGAACATTTTCAGAGGATGCATGGAATGGCTTTGCTTATGAACAGTCATGGTTGATAATAGCATGTATTAACTTGGTACATTCTATCATGATAGTGATTCTCCTGTGTATTTAATTGCAGGAAATGGAATCTGTAGCTGTGGAAACTGTGAGTGCTGGGATGGATGGAATGGAAATGCATGTGAAATCTGGCTCGGCACAGAATATCCTTAACAATTCGATGGGAGAGGACTAGATGCGGGTTTTTCTAGGCCATTAGAGCATATAAAGGCAGAAGAAACCATGTATAGTCACCACGAGGACAGGTCAAACAGACTGTTGTATGTTTTTCTATGTCTGAAAGCCTGAATGAAATCTGGATACCCATTAAAAATAAGTTAAGCAAACTCTGATGTAAATAACATCAGAAAGAAATTTTCTTCCACATTTACATCAGTGGTTCTCAACAAGGGAGACTTTGCCACCCAGAAAATATTAGGCAATGTCTACAGACAATTTTCATTGTCACACTGGGTGGGGTGGGAGGGTGTGGTTCAGGCCGGGGAGGCTGTTAAACACCCTACAGTGCGCAGGACAGTCCTCCACAATGTCAATAGTGTGCGTTGAGAAATGCTGAATGACGTGGTTGTTAGAAATGCACATCCCTAGACAAGAAAGGCCATTTTAGAATCTGAGGAAAAGACACATTCTCACATAAACCCAAAGTTCAGACTTTGCCAGGATTCTGTATCACTCTGCATTTCCATATGGGAACAATGAAGACAAACACACAGGAAGTACATTGTTGGATAGGGGTGGGGGCAGAGGACAGATCACCAGTGCTTTAGAGAAAACACTGGTCATTTTTAGTCATTAAGTCATTTGTCTAGTCTCACTTTAAACTCACAAAAGAAGATTCTCTTAAGATGAAGGGAGAAATTATGAAAAATGTACAATTTAATACTTTTAATAAATAGCGACATAAGTATTTTATACTCTGTGTCAATATGTATATTACCAACTGATGGCTAACAACAACAACAACAAAAATGAATTGTTATTCAAGGGTATCCATTTTCTGTTACTAGAACATTTTAAAAACTGGGCATGGGTTACACGTACAATGAATCTGATTTTTCACTAGTTAAAAATGGTAACTTGCCTTTTAAAAAGACAATATCTAGTTAGCTTTATGATGGGCCTGAAATATACATTCATTTCTCTTAAAAGGCTCTCTAATTTCTAAGGATACATTACTCACTGGAAAAGTAGGGTCATGCATAGAAGTCAAGAAGAGATACTATGATAAAATGCTACCAGTCTCAGAAGCTCAGAAGATGAAGATTTAAAGAAAAATCTAGAAATGACTTAAATAGAAATTACAAATATTCACTCGGTGATAGGAACAAAATGTTTATTTTCGTAATGCTGAAATCTTGCTCTGTATGAAATTCACATCGAATTATGAAAATGTACAATAATTTGTACTTCCCTTACATATTTGCAATTAAATCTACTTACACACATTAATTTGGGCAACCTTTAATTATTTAGAGCTCAAAAAGACCCATATATTTTCTAAATGTGAATTATATTTTGTAAAATTCTGCAATAATGTAATAAAATTTTCATATTGTTTAAGAGGAAAACTTTTACTTGGAAATTGGACTTAATGCTGTAAATATTCTAGAGCCATGACTTGGACTTTATAAGTCAAATCACCAAAAGTGAGGAAAATATGTATCTGCTAAGTTGCTTAAAATGTATATTGAAAATGATTTAAGAGGAAATTTAATTGATACTGATTTTTATAATACTAACAGTGTTCTTCTACTTCAATGATTTATAAAATTGTTATCTCTATCCTGAGATTAAGGAGTGCAACCATATTAGTTGTATCTTGATTGTTGAGTACATCAATTGAGATAGATATCAGTTTTGTAAAATGACAGAAATGTATGCAGTTAAGAAATAACATACATATAATATCCTTTCCTCTTCTCTAGCTAAGCATTGTAAGCCTCAAACAAACCTGTTTTGATTATTCAGTAGTAATTTCAACATGACTGATTTGATGATGGACACATTGGAATTCACTACATTACCACAGTATAAATGACACCCAGATTCCCTGTTGCAGAGCTCTGGGACCAGAGAGTAAATATTTTAGACTTTGTGGGACACATATATTTGTGTTGCATATTCTTCTTTGTTTGTTTAAAACTGTAAAAAGAAAAACAAAACAAAGCACTCATTCTGAGCTCCTGGACCAATCAAAAACCAATTGCAAGTTGGTTTTCACTCACCGCTGAGGCGTAGGTGGCCAACCTGTGTTCTGATGGAACTGCCCTTAATTTCCTGTTTCCTCACATAACCCCAAATATATCTTATTTTTCTTGTAATTCTCTACACTTGTTATCCCTTTTTATTTACAACAAAAGCATTTCCCTTCTTAAAATTTAATATAAGAAAAATGTCCTCAGCACTTATGTGTTTAAAGAAAAAGTTTGGATATGAGAAATGTTTATTACGAAGTTCAGAATGTGTTTTATCCAAAATTTTTGACAACCTGAAAATATATGGCAGTCGGTTATATTCTGAGTTCATTTAACTACAAATTATTGAACTGAAACTTTTCATATTTCTTGTGTGTATTTGTGATTTTTGACTCTAGCTTGCAAACATCGATAGATCTATTAAAAAGTGATTTCATTTCCATGTTTAAATTGGAAAAAATAAAATAAACAAAGTTACATGTAAAGATATATATTCTACCCTTCTTAAATGTGATTTTGTACTTTGACTTTTGAATTCATTACTAAGATAGAAACTCCCACTTAAAAAGAGGCAAGGCAAGAACAAACTTGTAAGAGGAGGGAAATGTGCAAATCTCATTGGCTTGTGCAAAGTTGTCCCAAGTTTACCGTGGGATTAATGTCCATTGAGAAGGATGCAACAAGCGATGCTGGCCAAACCCTGCTTCTTGGCAAACTGTCACTGAGGAATCCTTCCAGAAGGACTTCTCCATAAAATTTGACTAAGGTCCTGAGATCTAAGAGGAAAATCATTCTACCCCGTTTTCTCCCTGGATTCCTTGAGCTAATCTAGATCCTTTCAACACATTGAAAGGAATGACCTCACCACCTCAAGTGCAAACGCAGTCTCTGCCAGCAAACATCAAGATTAGACTAAATGGTATAGAAAAACAGATGAAAAAACCCCACATAATTTAGCCTTTGTTTACAGACTTGTTATTAGAACTTTGAAACCCTATTCAGCATTCAGGCATCAACAGGCCCTCTGTACCACCTTGTAAGCTAGGGAACTTAGGCTATGAAATGCATTTTCTTCAAAGTCACACGGTTCACATCTGGATTTTGATATACCTGCATTTAGCTCAGTTGCTTTCACTGGACATAGTCCTGTTCTGAAATGAACTTGAACATAATTTTCACTTTCTTCTAAAGTAGATCTGTTAATCAATCTGGTCTCAAAATGTTAATTCTCCTTATAATACTAGGGAGAAACTTTAAATGAAGTTATACATATCTAACATAAAGAACAAGAAGTCAGTTGTTTTTTAAAGAGAACTTAATCTAATATTGGTCATCTGAAAACATCTGGCCATTTTAGTGCTGTAGGCATTAATTAAGCAACCAGACAGGTGTGCAAGAGGCAATCAGAAGGACTGTAGCAGGAATCTATGAACTTACCGTGGGGCTTCTGAAGCCACCCGCTACACCAATATAGGGCAAGTAAACATTTAGAGCAACAATTCCTAAATTCTCCAGGATTTATAATGAAGTGATACTTAGTACCAATTTACTCTTTACATAGGGTGGACCATTTGCATCTATTCTATAATTTTTCCAAGTAAAGTTTTAGCAAAACATTTTAGAAAGCAAACTCATTAGAAAATAAAAATAGTATCACTTGAAATATCAAAACTGTTAACATTCCCAAGCATTGCTGAGAGATGGGTAAAGCAATCAATCAGCTACCACAACAAATCAATAGAAATAACCCTCCCACACCAGGTATGCATGCAAATGGAATGTGCTATCAGACTTGATACAATCAACATATGTACATGTAGGTACAAAACACACGATCTGTAAATACAAATGAATTCCATCAGGTTTACTATACAGAACATCAATGGTGACAGATTGCACTTACTTAATAACATCAAACTTGATTTTTGAGGGGGGAAAAAGGGAGAGAATCTTATCCCGGAAAAAATAGCAAGAGAGGTATCATCAAAGAGCTAAAATTTTCTTTGGCACTGTAAAGGGGAAAATTGAGTTTACCAACTTATTTACATGACATGTCTCTATATTTGTGGGTGATGCAATGCCATTTCATTACATAAAGTTGTTTGATGTTTTATAATATGCCTTCATATAAACATTTTATTCAATGTTTTGTATTTGTGAATATAACAAATGATATTAAACACAGAAACTGTACAATGCAGACACACTCTTTGTATGTAAATTGAGTAATACATACCAATAGTTCTTGATACCCAGGCCCTACTCTATGCAGTCCAACTGTGCTGCCCTCTGTCCCAAGCAACAGATGAGACCAGACACAAAGAAAGTGGTCAGACTAATTTACAAACAACAAAAACCCCTCTGCAATATGTCTAAACACATATTAGAAGAAAGTATCTTGGCATCCATTCATAGGGTAAATGCCCTGATAGACAACTTATATAAAAAACAAAACAGGTGCACATTTACATAAATCTCAGTCATTTATAAAAATAAATCTTGTCTTAATTTTAACCAATAAACAGGTTTGCAGGGGGAAGAAAGAAACCAGCAAATAGGTCTGATTACCAAAAGCAAATTTGTGGGGATGTTTGAGGTGTGTGTGTGTGTGTGTTGGGGGTTTGGGGGAGCATAAGTAGTGTCTATAAACCCATCTAATTAAAATTTCAAGTTAAATTATTCATAGTGTGCCACATGTTACGGATTATATGTCTTCCTTAAATAATTAGTAATGAAATTCACCTAATGTATTTTAACTTATCCTGTTAAAAGCAATAGGCTTTGAAATGATGCAACAAGAAATCAAGAATGGTCCAAGGAACCATTTTGTTGTATTTGTACCTTAGCATTATCAACAATAAATCTACTCAAACATTATGCTAACTTTTTATTTATTAAAATGGAATCCAATATGAAAATGAAATAAGCATAAACAGTTAAATTTATACTAAATCTTTAATAAGCTAAGCAGGCCAATATTTTTAAATGCTGGGCAAGGGTTGTCATGGAGACTTAGAAAAAGCAGTGACAAAATAATTTCCCAGTAAATACAGAGCAAATGGGGGCAAGTGGCGACCGGGTCATCCTTCCACATGAAAATAACAAGAGGCCAAGATAAGGATCTCACATATAGTTTCCATAAATGAGGTTCAATTTGGTCTCAATGAACTCTTCTGAGAACAAAACATGGAATTTTATTAAGGATACAGAGAGTTAACAAATATATTTCCAAACAGGTTAGTATTAAACATTTTGAAACTCCAGTATTGGACATTTTGCATGGTTTCTTCACTGTGTCGTCAACTATTCATGGCCTTTCCTGGTAGTTGTCTTCCCTAAGCTCAGAGCTATTTAAAAGGAAATTGAGAAAGCAAATAAAACAAAAGCAAATCGGTCAGCTGGACCAAAAAACCTGATGTTTGAACATGTTGGTCTGCCTTTAATTTTATGTAGAATAATTCAATAAACTGCATTCTGAGATCATGGCAAGGCACCTCTATCCCAGCCACTGGGCACCTGGGCCCTGACAAGCTGGGTTAGCGGTATGGACTGGTGAAATACACAGTACCTGACTCAGCATGCTGAGCTAAAAAAATTTTTTCCTATTGTGTCCAGTTTAAAAACTTGTCATTAAACACCAAAAAAATATTAAAGTCTAATTTATAACTAAGGTTTGCATTGCTGCTGCAGAAAAGAACACAACAGCCGCCTTGCCCATGCTCTGCCGAGTGTGAGTGAGATGCAGCCAGAACCCGGGATGGCGTGAAGTTCGGTTCATTAAAAATAGGAAGGATTCTATCTGAAATGGATTTAGGTAGCGCAACTCTTATAGGTTGTAATTATTGGGTTGTTGTTGTTTTTTTTTTCCTTTTTTCCCAAATGATGAGGATTCATAGATGAAAAATGAACCTTAATCAGGCCTACAAGGCCTACAGAGTTCTTTGGACCCACTTTCTCAAAAACCAGTGGGTCTTGCTCGCTGGGCAAGGCAAATGTTACCATTACCAGTAAGCTTGTGATATGTATAAAACACACACATACACACACAGAAACTACAGGGGGATGTCAAACACATGCCGTGGAGAACTTCCCATGGACCGTGTTTGACCCATTTCTCACCTGGGCAACGCCGACCTCAGGAGCACAGTACCTGCCACTGAACAGAGCGTATATGTGTGTTTAATTGATAGTGAGCCAGAGATAACACTCTTAATCTTTATGATGCAATTTGTAATAATAGGTTTAGAAGGCTTCCTGAATCCCTGATCGCTCTCCGAACTAAGCCAACTGCAACATTTAAGATTTAGAGGAACACAATCCCCGCAAAAGGTCACAGACAGTGGAGCGAGCAGCCCTGTAAAAACGGGGAGAGAAATCCATAATAGCACAGGTTTACAGCTTCTAACTAGAAATTACTCAATAGTATTTGTGTGCTACAAAATTGAACTGAAACACATGGATTTTGCTGAAACAGGACTCAAAAAGGATTATGGGTAGCTGTCAGCAGGCAAGGTATCGAGTGTACTTGTGAAGTATGTCATTCACATGAAGTGTCACAGTCACAGAAAAGATATTAAAAAGGCATTCCATATCTGGTAGGGCATTCCATGGTCTGAGTTTAGCTGGTTATCCAGGTGTCTTCTTCTTGTGGGGGGTGCAACATGTTGAGATTTATCCACTTGCAACCAAGAAGTTCGAGAGCAAAGAGCAAGTATCCGCTTACTTCCAGCTGCTCCTCAGCCATGGGAGCAGAAATGTCTGGCAAGGATAAATCACTCAACTGTGCTCGGGACCAGTAAGTCACAACACCTGTGAGGATCTGGCTATGTTGTCTTACTTTTGTTGACTGGTTTGCCTCCATTCATTATTGCAGACGCACTTGTGCTTTTACTTGGCGTCACCCCGGCCTTCGGGACTGTTTCTCCAACATCATGCAAAGATGGTTCTCGGTACATGGCAACTAGGGACAGGGAGGAGGGCATGAAGAAAGGAGGAAAAGGAAATGTTACCTAGTTCAGTTCCAGAATCAGTGCACACACAGACCTCAGCAGTTTGCCCTGTCCTGTTTCCCTGAAGTAAAAGCAATCCCACTGAGAGGGATTCCTGTTCCAATGCAGTAATTTCCTGCCCCCAAACAGAAGACATTACTTCCTTCACGCTCTCTGGTTTATATAACTAAATATGTACATTGCTGTGAATGGATGTTTTTCTAGGAAAGAATGCTTAAAGGCTTTGAGGGCCTAAGCTATAAAATACACGCAGACGCACACACACCAAGTATAGGAGAATGGCAAACTTAAACCTAACTGTCTTGGTACAGCAAGGAAAACTCAGACTTCCTTTGCACTGTACACCTCAGCACTCGAACCACTCATTCCTATTCATCTTTTTAAGGATTCACACCCTAGATCATTGAATTATTTTTCTCTTGAGTGGTTCAAAAGCAACCTAGTCACACTGGTGTTAACTTCAAAGCAATAACAAAAAACTCCCTTTCCCTAAGCCAGGGCCTTCAAAGATCACTGCTGAGATTTCCTCTGCCATGATAATGAAAAGAGACCCTTAAATAACTGAAGGCAACTGTGTGGCATTTTCTTTTTTATTTATGCCTCATTTTCTGATATATTATTAAACATCTAATAATTGATGTCATACAAGGCAGAATGGCAAGACAGCAAGTGGGACTGACATCTGGTGAACTCTGAGAAATTGCCTGAATAGAGTCTGGCCACATAATTAACCATAAGAGTTCACGTGGTTTTTTAGAAAATGATCCTCAGGAACCCTGGGGAAAACATTTAAGAGTGACTGATGTTTGAGGAAAACTAGGTGAGTTAACATCATCTGCCATCAGAAACACAAGTGTATTAGACCTGCCCAACCTGCTTTTTAGGCTTTTGAAAGTTTATGATACAGCAGGTCCTCGAATAATGTTATTTGGTTCAAGTTCATTTCATTATAAGGTTGATGAATGAAGAAATGACTCCCAGCTGGGGCCACTGTCCCACCCTCCCCACATCCTGGGTTTCTCCCAGGAGATCTGGTTCCTCCTGCAGCCCAAATATGTGCACACTGGGTGAATTGGCGTGTCCACATTGTCCCAGTCTGAGAGAGCGGGTGTGTGTGAGTGTGCCCTGTGAGGGAAGGGGGAGGGGTCCCACTCTGGGTCCTGAGCTGCCGGGATAGGCTCCACCACCCTCAACCCTGAACTGGATTAAGCAGGTTGGAAAATAATTCTCTTACTTGTTTTTATTTATCTTTCTTAAATGTGTGTATAGCTCACATTTATTTCATTGTTTAACTTAAAAATGTAATAGGTCTTTGTTTAGAAGAAATTTGGTGATATTTTTGTGGCCAGAACTATTCATTAGGAACTTAACTCTTATTTATAGCGATTAGCTTAAACTTGGCTTCATTAATAGATAACGTGAAAGGAGGTCTAACAGTACTTTATGAAGAGAACTTATGTTTAGTTAGGATGAACCATCATATACAGTCTCCGTGTTCAAGGTGGTAGAATTTTACCTTTTGCATCAATGAATCGTGATTTTTCAGCAGCACATATATTTGAAAGTGCTTGTATACATCAGCCCTATATTGAATGACTCGGCAATGTGGTAGGAGAGATTACTCCATATCCTTGAAGCAATTACCCATTGCTTACTCCGCCTACCACTTCAATTAGGAGACAACAGCATCGGTGCATTAACCTTGACTGTCTAGCATGAAGTTGTATAGAAGATAGGAACGTCCCAGAGCATCAGTGGTCAATCAAGTAGCTAATTTTTCCTAAAATTTCCAGTGATATAATTTATATCCTGTACAGGTCTTGAAAGCTTGAAATTAATGTCCTCTATTAATTGCACTATGTGATAAACTCTGTCATTATAATATATCCTTAATTGTTATTTTTTTAGATTACTTCTATCTGCTAATTATTTGAAAATACTGTTTCTCTCTTTCTCATACATACATATACACAACACATATATACAACAACAGTTCAATGTGTGACTGAAATACCAAGTGATATTATTACCCCATGCCTTTAGAGTCAGACATTTCTTGTTGGTTATACCAAAAAGCTGGTTTCCAGATTTTGCTTCAGTTAAGAGAGACATAAAGGTCTTTTTGGTTTTCATTACATTTATGCAGCTAAGAGACAAAGTTTTAGAAATTTAGTCAATTCTTAACTGTCCACATTGAAAAAATTAATGTAAAGAGACAAAGCAAACTTTCTATTGATTTAGTTTTGAAAATTTTCACTTGCATTTGAGTATTTGTGAATCTGATGGTTTCAGAATTTATTTTAAAAGGGTAAAACAAATCAGAGAGGTGTTATTTTAGAAGGAAAAAACTCTCTAATTCCTTATTACTCCTCTAACTTTCTTTATGATTTATCATATACTCAGAATAATGTACTCATATTTTAGACTGTGATATAATTTTGCATTTCCTAGACAAGCCCTGGTGATTAATCATTTGGGTTTTAATGACCTGTTCTAGAGACAAATTTAGTTAAGGGTGACAGGAAGTCAATAGCATTGAAATGATAAAGATGGAATTAATCAACAAGAGTGGTTTTCCAAACTTAGGTAAACTGAAAGCTCAATTATACATTCACATATAATTAATATTTAACTTTCAATATTTCAAATATCTTATTCCTATGTAGAGAATATGGATTATAAAACCTATGTGGATTTTTTTCTTGATGGTTAAAGCTTTCCTATGGGAATAAAAACCAAAAAGAAGATCAAGCTGTCTAAACCAGCATAAAGTGTTTATTGTAGATCTGATTATCTGTGAAAAGTAAACAAAAGTATTTAAATAGAAAACACTTTTGAAAAACCTCAAAATCAATTTTTTTTTGGTAGTTGTCAAACAAATTTACATAGGTAAATGTAAATGACACTTCTGGCAGAATTCTTGATGAGAAGGGTGCCGATATTTCTGATTAACTAAGGAAAGTTTATAGCTTGCACGCCGAGAATTTGATCAAAGTTCATGACTTCACCGTTTACAAGTAAATGTAAAAGACGGTGATGCCACAATGAAGAATACTAAACAACTATGCAATTTGGAAGGAAGATATGTAAATTAACAAGTTATTTGAAGGACAAGTTATTGACTCTTCACTTTCTGTAATTATAATAATTCACAAATAAATGATTTTACTTTAACCTAGATAACATCGAAATGGGCAAATACATTTATTCCATAAGATTCAAAATTAAGTTTTTCTAATATACTTATTGTCACAGTCACAGATTTGTAATGTCATTGCAAATTTTAAAGTTAGTTAATCAAAAATTCCTAGGGACTAGAGAGGTTGGGGCAGTGAAGATTTGAGACATTAAAAATGGACAGAGAGGGAGTTTTGCTGGCATTTTTTAAATTAATGGAATATATATGTGTGTATAGTCTATAAATTTGTGTATATATGTATGTGTGTGTGTGTGTGTATACATATATAGACACAGGTATACATGTATACAGTAAAGTGTACAAATCTTAAATGTACAACTTAAGTAGACACCTGTGCAACCACCACTCAGGTCAAGATAAAAAATATTCCCAGGACTCCAGGAGAGTTCCTTGTGGCCACAGCAGAGTTATCAGTCTGAAAAATAAATGTGTGATAAATCTGATAAGGATAAAGCACATATAGCACTCACCTTCCAATGGCTTGGGTAGAAAATGAGCTGCTGGTTTGGTTTTCTTTACTCTGTTTCCTTTCATAACTTGCCCTTCTTTATTCAATCCCAAAAACCAGGCTCTACCAGATTCCTGTTGTCTGTACAGCATAGATGAGTAGATTACATAATAGTTTTCAAAAACAGATTCCTTAAACTTGCATTCAGGGGTAAAAAGTTCCTGTTGAGAGAAAAGGAATAAAAGAAAGTTAGAGGAAAGAACAGGAGTTTCACTGTGGTTCCTCTTCCTTCCTCCAGTAGCTTGTCCACCAAGATGAAGGAGTGAACTCTTGGGCAGGGACGACCAGACTCACCTCTTCCTGCATGCACTAAGTGTCCATACACCTTTTTGCAATATACGATGAATATAAAATCTGCTTTTAATGGGAAATATATGTATAGGCAAAAGTATAGATGTTATTTAACAAGAAAATAGAGACGAGCAAATTCAAAATCTTTTTATTTAAAATAAAAAAATGCAATCAAGGTATAACCAGAAAGAGCACCACAAAGTAGTATCATATTCACAACACACTAAATAAAAATCAAATATATATTTAAGCTATTTGCTAATCCATTTTCAATATTTCTATAGGAATAGTATATGATGCCCTAACAGTTGCCAGTTGTTCATTAGATCACTAGCATTATAGGGTGATTCATTCACCTACAAAGAGACAGATGGAAGCCCCAAACTAAAACCATGATAATTAGCTGCACATCAACTATCAACTAGCCCCTGGAGCTGAGGCCTGGTGTTGTTAGCTGGTCATAGTGACAGAAGCTGAAAATAATGACCTAATTCCATAGTTTAGAGCCCCATTGGAATTCTTGAAGAAAGCTACCCTAACTGTAATCCACCCAGCATTTTTAAAAAGAGAACAATGAGTTATGACTCTCAATGGCATGATCTATATTGATTGATGAGTAGCACAAAGCTTTACTACTTTATGATTATCATTAATAACCAAATCTTCATAGATGACTTTTACATACTTCTGAGATTTAACCTACAAAAGCATTTCTGATAAACTTCTATTAAAATTAATTTAAAAATTCAACCTCTCTAGTTGTAGGCCTTGGAAGCCCTTTAACTTGTTTTAATGGCTATTTTAAATAGGCTGAACACTGTACTATTTTATAGGTATGAAATATGGATGCAAAGAGAGCTTTAAAAATATCACTGTACTTGAAAAAAATTTACCTTAATAGATTTTTATGACTACAAGAAAAATAACATTTATTTATTTTTTAAAAAATAATTTTCTATACACATCCTGAAAACATACCCTTTAGGATCTAAAAATGAAAACTTTTAAGAGTTAAAGTTATGCTAACCATGATAAGGAATGTGACATTATTGCCAATAGAAATTTTCTTTTACTATTTCCCATGAGAGTATAAACTATCAAATAGTGTCTCTTGCAGGTTATAATTTATTCAGAGTACCCCATACCTTAAATTAATTATCTGAAAGCTAACAACTTTCTAAAAGGAACAAGTTTTGTTCAAGGCAGATACTTTTCATGACAAAAATGACAGATCTAATTATTAATGATATTAGAAAAGCCAAAAGATGAACTTAGCCTCTTCTGAAAGGAATTTATGTAGACCTTCATTTCTTCTAGATAATTCTATCTCAGGCTTGATGACAATCTTGTCAAAATAAATGTTCTGGCCCTCCACTAAGTTCTTCTCTAAATATTCTCCATTAGTTCTTTCACTAATAAGTAACAGACCTAGTGAGTCAATCTCCTGACCTGCCTCAGAAAAGACTAATAAAAGGATACTTGTTCATACATCTGTGGTGAGGAAAATAAAATGAAATGCTGTAAATCTGGCTTATCCTCAAAAGACTAATAAATATAACATATTGGTTGAAGTGCACCTTCTAGGACAAATAGATGAGACTTATCTTTTTATTGAGGTATACCAAGGCATCCAAGTATATTACTTATTAGTTAAAACCTATCTCAAATCTAGCTGGAGTGGGGGTGGTAAAAGCTAATGCAAACTGAGGTCACTTGGGGGTCAGAGGAGCTGGCACCTGCCTTCTAGGACACCAGGTCTCTGCCCAAAGCCTTGTTCACCTTATTGATAGGATAGCTGATGACTGATCTTTATCTAGAGAACCAGGGCAGCCAGCTTTGGAAATTCAAGTCCATAGGGCAGTCAATCCTATTCTTACCTAATCCCCTCTGCCATAGTGTAAGAAACGTGGAGGACACGGCTTCATTACCATTAGCAAATTAGAAATGTATTGTCCCTACTATAAACTGACTAAGTCCAATACGAAAGAGAAGAGAGACCCTTGATGTTAAAGAAATCACTCATTCTCAGAGTAAATCTTAAGGCCATCTGACATCAAGTCTTTTTAGATAAAATGCTGCATCGTAGGATTCTAAGGAAGCCAATGTCACGGCTCTTGTCTGTGAGCTGTTCCAGAGGCATCACAGATAGGTGATTCTTTCTGTCTTCTTCAGTGAAAGCCATTGTCCTCAGTTGCTTGTGATGGTCAAGACTGGTCAGCACATTTTCAATCTTCTTTATTCTTGGTTAAATAATTAATATGCACAAACATTCTCTATTCAAAGGCACTATTACCTAATAAATTTTGATAGACTTACCTAGACTTCTCAAGAATTTAATCAACTCATCAAATATTGGAGCACAGAAAGAATCCTTACATTCCCAGGAGTACTGATAGGACTAATGAAAGTTAAGATTAATGACTTTTTATTGGGTGTCATAAGGGACAAATATACCTTTAACACATAAATGGGAGGTAGTGGAGTAAGGTTACTGTGAACACCATCTGTGAAACCAGATCTCTTGGGCTCAACCTGGCCCTACTTCTTATCAGCTGTGTCTTTGGGGAAATTCCTTAATGTCTGGCCTTCAGTTTCTGCCTCTCTAAAATGTGTACAAAACCATAGGAAAATAGAGTGGTTGAAAGGACTGAGTAAATTAATGCATGTTATATATTGAGAAGAGAATGTAGCATATAGTTAAGTACTCACTACTATTCTAAAATTTAAAAAATCCCCATTACGTTTAATCTAAAATACACCTGTATCAGTTATTTCAATTACATCAATATTTCAGCAAACCAAAATTTAGGTAAATAATTAGTCAATGAGTACATTTTTACATTAAATATTGGGCTGAGTATCAGATACACCAAAATGAACTTATAAAAATGGTATTGTGAAGGACAGTGGTGAGACATGCTATGGTACATTTGGAGAACTATGATTAGTTCATTATTGTGACTGTGCGGACAGAAGTGAATAGGAAGGTCAGTGGATAAATGTGACAAAGGATCTTGGACACTCTGATAAACAGGTTAGACATCTTATAAGCAAGAGGTAGACACAAAGGTTCGTAAATAAGCAAGGGAATAATGGCATAGCTTAATTTGTATTTTATAAATACCAATCGGTTGTCAACCTGGAGGATGATTTTGAGAAATTAAGGTACATATCATATATACACTGATGTGTTAAAGCCAAATATCTTGCAAAACAGGCTTGAAAATTGTAGAACATGTATAAGTGTGTGCTCATCTTAGTAATGAGTATTAATATAATAGTCAAGGATGCATAAAGTAAGGGGGAAATACAACCAGAATTATGACACACAAATTGAGTTCTGAACTTTCTGGTAGCCAAGACAAAAAGAGAAAGGCTATATGTTATAAAAAATTATGGAAGAGAGAAAATCTTTTCTTTTACTTGGCACTAACTTCCAAAAGGCATTTCCTTATAAGAAATAAGTGACATTGACCAAAATAAACAAAACATGCTCTTGATAGTAATTGTACAATTAATGACTTTATTAATGACTTTAGGTTTGTGTATGAGTCCTACAATATGCTTTAGGAAATAGTTGAAGTGAAAAGTCCCATAGGCAGGACTTGAAATCATTGTAATTGATGAGATCCCCAGGGATCATGCACATAGCAGAGGCTATAAACTCAAATTCCTATACTGACCAGGCAGAAACAAGAGTTGAAGCAAGCCAGTATAATCATAGTACCCTGATGAGGATAAATGTCCCCTTACTCAGGCTCTGTGGAAGAGACAGAGAGAATAGTAGAAAGGACAGCTATTATGTGAAAATAAAAACCTTAGATCTTTAGCAGAACTGATTTTTCAAAGGAAGTAATAAATCCAGGTTTCTAGGTAACATCTCCTTTTAACGGTGACAGCTATTTCTTGGTTCTTGTTTTTGTGTTTCAATAAAGCGTGGACCAGGGGTCTGAGATGGGGCCTGTGAGCCTCCAGTGAGACCTCTAAGGTAGCGTGGGAAGAAAAGTATTAAAAGAAGGGACCCCGGGTGGCTTATAAACGCATCCCTGACCTCACTTATGGTTTCTATACATTTGAGTACTATGATGACTGTGCCAGCAAAACACTCCAAAGCAGGTAGTAACAATATGAGACTGCTTATTTAAATTTAAACTTAAATATAAACTCTTTGAAACTGCCAAAAAGAAATAGATAAGGAGTTTGATGTGTTTTTTTTCTCATCTTTCCTGCCTATATTTAGAACCACCAACACAAAAACAACAAAATCAACAACAGTTGAGTTTCAGCAGAAGCTTAAATATTAATTTGTAGCCTTGCCAAACTAAATCATCAAGCCATAGAATAGGAAAACAACAACTAAACAAAAATTTCATATCTCCTTTATGTTGTGGTTGTTTTTGAAATGAAAGCACCATCTGTGGTGTACTTACTGTCATAACAGTAGCAGCACAATTCCTCTTCTAAGGGAAATGCCTTTGTTTAGGAAAATACCCCGATGAGCCATTAGCATGTACACAGCTAGGTTTCTGGTTTCAGGATAAAAGGAGAGGGTGGAGGGAAGAGAAGGCCCAAGTTTCTTAATTTATAACCAATGAATTAACCATAAACCCAGATATTCAGCATAACCATAACCAAAGAACTAAAAGTTACCTTGAGAATCTAACTTAGTGATCGGCAAACTGCAGCCCGTGGGCCAAATGCACCTGCCACCTGTTTTTGTAAATTCATACCAAAAAGATCAGAAGTGAGTTGTTGAGACAAAGACTGTATGGCTTGCAAAACCTAAAATGGTTACTGTATGATCCTTTGCCAAAAAGCATGTAAACCCTGTTGATAAGGTACATTTTGAGGACTGTCAACCTAGGTAGAG